GTAATATGTTTTGAATRCATGTCTTCTTGTCTACTTCTTGTCTACTTCTTTCCTTGTTCATTTTTGCAGAYATGTATTGATACCGACAAAACTAAATCTTTGGATTTATTCAAAGGAACAATACAATTCTTCGTACACTTTTGTTATTTTGAGTTGTTCAACAGTTGATGCCGGTATATTTTATTCGAAGCATGTGTGCACTGATTTGTCAAACTAGTCTGATTTGACAACTCTTAACAAAAAATAAATAAAATATTGAGAACCCTCTTACCGCTGCACAATCAAATCGACATTACTTGAAGGAAAAAAATATATCTTTATTCAGTAAGCTACGGGGAAATAGAAATATCTTTATTACATTGAGCAGGTCTTTTRCAAGTGTATTTGGCTTTACTTGTAATCAGCCGGACGTTTGGTCATAACCCCTGAAAAGAAAGAAAGAAAAAAAAAATGAAAATTAGCGTTTCAAGAAAAAAAGAACAAACAAACTTGGGCACGAGGTTTTTGGAGAGTATTGTTCGAATTAAAACTTGATTACAATGATCCTTAGTAAACTTTAATAGGAGTGAGATATCCTTCAATGATATGCATTTTATTTGTCCTTATGCATCCTGAAATGCTTTTATTTGTAATTTTTCATGGAGCGAAAAAGAATTGTTGTCTACTCCTGCTTCTARAAGAAGTACTTTCTGCATTTTCATCTTTAGAGCGGTTTCGAGAATCTCAGAATATAGTCCTATCGTGTGCATCTCTAAACGGTAGAAAWTAAAAAAGTTCAGGAAATATTGCTTTACTGCTATTAATCAGTCTACATTGGGATTTTCAAATGTGTCCAATAAATAGAGGACTCATAAGTGGTCCTTTTGTGTTTCGAGGGTTTCCCACATATAGGTAACAGCTTAAGGGGGTATACATTGTTTTCTCACTCCTCACCAATATCAATGATCAATAGATAAGACATCAAAACTGCGATTAATGTTACAGTGCTTTGGATGGGAATTCAGTATCACATATATTTTTTGGAGTCATTTATTCCTTCCCCCCTTATTCCCTTTAATCAAGTGAGCCCATGATATGAAGCGTTGGACACTAGGTGAAACCAAATCCCATTCAACAGGGTTCCAAGAAAAACACCTAGTTTGTTAAATGTCTGATATTTACATGCAGGTAAGTCGACAGTGACCACATGTCAAGAAGTTGTTAATGTTGCCTTTGATACCAGTGTAGTAAAATGGCTCACACTTTCTTGTGCAGGTGTTGTAGAAGAATCTATATTTGTAGCTCGTATGTCCCGTGCAGCAATAGCCTTCACCTGGATCTTTGGGCAAGATGCATGGATCTAGCATGAAAAATATGATAAATCACAAACTTAATACTAGAATATTTAGCTTTTAATTATCTTAAAATAAATTAGTTTCGGCTTTTGGATGGTCAGCCGACCACACCATATCTAATTACATTATTTAGATACGAAAAACGAAAGAGGAAGCATAAAGCATAGACAGCATCCTTCCTCAGCGGTTCTTTGAAAGATTCCGTATATACTTCACCATATGGATAATAAAAGTASTATTATCCCACCAACGTTCTTTGTCTCCGTTACTCTAGCTGTCAACTTAGCTAACTAGTTTTTTCAGTAAAAAATAATCAATTTCAAGAAGAAAGGGGAAAGGGAGACTCCATCCTTCATCCAGTCATGAATATTAGTAGTAGTAAGGAAGTAACTGAGTGTGAAAAGAGGCTTTGTCTGAAATCTAGTTTTTTTTTACGTTTCTTTCAACAAAGGCTTKTGAGAGTGGCTGAAAAGATAAATAGAACAACCGGTTGTCTCAGTTGGTATAGCACATCGGGACCTTCAAATGATAGATACGCCACCTGCAAATGGTTACACAATCAGATCTTCACGGATAAGGAAATTCACATAGCAAAGATCTAATAAATATGTCAAACGTCAAATATATTAGCTAATCACACAAATGCAATGAGACAAAAGATTGACATGAGAAAGAAACACTGAGAACGTAGCAAATTCTTGCGGTTCAGGTCGTCACCTTAATGTGACTTTGTAACTATAAATCTCGCAGTAATTAGCTCTACTTTTGTGAGTGWCCGACTGTGAAGGCAAAAGTAACTGATATAAGCAATAAAGAGCAGTAAATAAGTTCAAATGCCTACTGCATTTYTGGCGGCATTCATCCTCRGTTTTGAAGTTGTTTTCGTTGCCATTGCAGCCACCATAGRTGAATTCTTCGCATTTTGCTGATGTAGTGTTGTAGAAGAATCGTTTAAATGCAGCTTTACAAAGACCAGGGTCTTTTGGTTGCATGCAGGACGAAGAACCGTCAGTCAAAGAGAAATCTATGCAAACAACAATTGTAGATGTTAGTAATTTTCTAGTGATRATGTTGTCTACAGAGTGATTTTTGAGTCGATCTTAAAAACATATTTGTCAACATATAKAAGAAAACCTTATGACCGAATTCAAAAAGCTACCAAAATTTGCATATAATTGCTGAACGTTGTCATAAAGGAAATATAACGTTTTCACTTTAGAAAAAAGAGATATAACAAAAAGACAAAATTTAACATTCATCTTAAGTAAAAATTATGTATAACAAGATACGAACTTTTTAAAATCAGATTCCAGCAAGTTGTTTTCACACGTCGGATTTCTAACAATTTTTTTTTTATATTTCTCTATTGATCTCTATTCGATCTTTTCTTTCAAGGCAGAAATTATGCATCGGCACACGAAGCTTGACAGGATTTTATTTAGCTTCAGTCTTTAGGTTAAGTAATTTTCAAAAATTTCTTAAGAGTATGGACGTTGATTTTTGACCGGATCTCAAGAAAATGTATTTAAAATGTAACGTTTAAAATCTGATAAGCTGTTGACCATGTTTACATAATAACAGATGAGAAGCTTTTCAGGACTCTTGATTTCAAGTATRAAAAAATGTTCACTATAGGAAGTATAAAATGGCTGCTTGTTTCTTTGTCTGTTTCGATATGAAAAAAAAATCAGGCTGTGAGATCTCGAGAAGACAGAACAAAACAGTGTCAGAAAAATTTGCTAACATTTTGCTGGAAAAATACTAAAAATGTTAGAAAAACACTTCATATTGAACTTTTTCTGGTTTCAATTATCATTAAACATAGAGAGATGACAAGTGGCCATTGTTTAAATGGGCGTTAGAGTACTTTGATAAACAAAAACATACTTCATTCTCGATTTCAAGAGCTATTCTGAMTTCAGTTAAATTTATCAATCAGAAAACTTGCTTCATTTTGTAACGATGGAACACATTTTCTTGCAAAAACCATTTTTGATCAAAGAATCAAAAATTTAAAATTTTAAGACACCTAAGATTCACAATTATAGGTAGTTACAAGATACGTGTTTAGAACTAGGAAAGAATTCAACTAAAGACTTACGGAGAGCAGCGAGAGACAGCAAAATAAGAACAGTCTTCATGTTTGAGTGTCGATAACTGATTTGCCTTATGGGCACCAGCCAGATTATATGATATAAATCGGACCAGACCGTTCTACTTGACATGCTCGGATTAACGAGTCACGTGATTGATAGCAATTCTGCTTCTAATATCTATTACAAATAATTTAGCTTTTTAACATATGTAATTAATTTTTTATTTGCGAAGAAGCTTAAAATGTTGATTTTGGGTATTTTGTATCTTAACATTCGTTGTTGGTGAGGTAKACAGCAWTACCAGAAAKGKTTTATTGATGAGAACGGACTGTGAATACACGAAGTTCTGCAGGATTTGATTTAGTTTAAGTAATTTTCAGCATTCCAAAAGGTATAAACGATGATTTTTGACCCGATCTCATGAAGAATAGAAGAATATCAAGAAGGCTTCAGGACTTTTGATTTTAGTATAAAAAATGATCATTTTAAGGATTATAAAATCATGATTGAGTAATCTAACCGTCTCCTAACAGCACTGCCGGCATGTAGTCTGAACTGAAATGTTTTAAAACAAAGACGACTTCAAATTTTCATGTCCTGTTTAACACTAGTGGTAGTAGTAGTATCAGAGCTAATTGCATTTTCAAGTGGAGTATATCAAAATATAACAATCTTGTGCGTTTTGATACTTTTTCTGGTTTACATCAGTAGACATGGAGACATGACCAGTGCCCATTGTTTAAATGTTAGACTTTGATAAACAAAAACAAAGCTTAATGTTTGATTTTAAAAACTATACTGAGTTTAGTTAAACTTATCAATCCAATAACTTGATTCACTTTGGAACATGAATCACATTCTATGACATAACCCATTTTTGGCTCTAAGCTCAAAAACTTTAAAATGTGAAAATACTTAAGATTTACAATGTACTTACAAAAGACACGTGTTCTAGGAAGGAATTCAACTATTTTAAACTACAAAACTAACAGCAAGACTTACGGAGAGTAGCGAGAGACAGCAAAATAAGAACAGTCTTCATTTTTGTCGATAAATGATTTCTTAATGGGCGCCAGCCAGACTATATGATATATATCGGACTAGATTATTCTACTTGACATGCTCGGATTTGAAGAGTCACGTGATTAATAACAATTCTGCTTCTAATATCTATTAGATATAATTTTGCCTCTTTTCATATGAAAAATTGCTAGCTATTCTAAGACCAATGAAATTCAATCAATCAAATAACTTGTTCTCTATTTCTAAACGATCAATATCCTATTTATAGCCTTGGTCCATAGGATCAAATTCTATGACATAACCATTTTCGATCCAACCCTCAACAAATGAAAAATGAAAAAAAATTATTTACAAGATATGTCTTTTACTTATATGAACTAACGACAAGACACACAGAGAGCAGAAATAGACAATAAAATAAGAAGAATCTTTATTTTTGAACGTCGATGATTTTTTATTGGCACCAGCCAGACTATAAGATATAAATCGTACCAGACCGTTCTGCTTGACATGCTCGGATTTGACCGAACAGTTACACGTTATTAATAGAAATTCTCTTTACTACTACAGCTATTTGCAATAATTCTGACCCCCCTACACTAATATTCATATATATCAAAGTAGCCTTAGAAATTATGGGATACCAAAGCTGAAATTTTTTGAGAAAGTACTCATTCTGGGCAACTTAAAAAATATATCAGTCATGATATCCCATAATATTTAAGGTCAGTTTGATATATATGAAATATGGCAGAGGGGGTCAGAATTATTGCAAACAGCTGTATATTAAGCTTTTTTCTATATTGAAAAATGCCGCAATGATGCTTAAAATGAAATTTTTGTATCGTACTATTAGTTCTTCGTCAGGTAGACAGCGTCGGCGAAAAGGGCTGTTGACGAGTACGATGGTAAATTTACGGTTAAACAGGCTTATGGGAAGTCATTCAAACAACAAAGACACGCAATGAAAAGCAGTGAAAACAGCATCATACTTTTAAAGTCAGTAACCGTTTTTATTTTTATATCTTCTTTTTATCATTGCTTTAAATTCGTCATCTTTTCTTTTGACGTTTGAACCTCTTAGGCATACCAAACCTGAAAATAAAACATAACTTGTCAACCAGGTAAACACATTTACGATAAAATTAAGTTTGAAAACCATCGAAAAACCAGAGCATCAAAGCCAAGAACCACCAAAGTACAAACTACTGAAAATCTTAGGGAAAGTAAGAATTTTTGTAAGCATTTGGCAATACAATACAAACATTGCACATGGCACTGATTACATCCGTTAGTGTTGTAGTTAGTGTAAATTATTCTATAYTGAATTGTTGATTGACAATAGAAAATAGAATTAGCATATCTACGGAATTTTTTTTAGCTATCTATTGCTGGTTCTYAGGATATGTCACAGCGGGCATCTTAGAGATACTTCAACAGTCACAGGATTTCTCATTAGTATCTATTGTTCATTCCTCAAACATGGCCGACGTTCTTTTGTTGATTGAATCTCATGGGAATGCTTGAAAAACCTGGAAAATTATTTGATTAAGTGTTGCTGTTGTTTTCGTCGTCGTCGTCCTTGTTGGTGCTTTTCTTATTAATATATTTATTTGGGGAAATTTCTACGCCTTTTTTCGTGTTCCTCTAATCCCGCGTGATCAATGTCGAAAAGAGATCACAGAAATGTCATGAAATGTATTCTTCATTGCATTTAAAAACAGACGGACGTAATATATATTTGTTAGGTTTTCTCAGTTTTCTGTTTTGAACTCATCCCAAAGCGGAAACATATTGGACCAAAAGAGGAAAGAACAAATTGCCCTATCGCAGAATTACGCCTCACACTAAAACATTCTATTGTTTTAACGCTAAGGATTATGGTCGCCAGAGCGGATCAGAGTGACTGCATATCAAATATGCAGATGAGCTATCATTTAATATAAAAATTAGGTAACACCTAATAGCGGAGCTCCAATACCAATATAGAAGCTGAAAATGATTATCTAGTACTGCTATTTCAAAGGTAGATGCTTTGTTCTAAGCAATGTGAGTTACAACAGTTTTGTTGACATGCGAACAAATATTATAAAGAGTATGTTTATGAGAATTTAGTTTGTACTAATATTGACTTCGGTAGATTTTGTTCCGTTGGATGAAGTTTAATATTATAGTCTGTAAAGGTCAATTGATTTAAAAAGTAGTCTACATAAGCTTACAATAATCAACATTGTTTCAATAATCGATGTTTCAACCCGGACTACTCGAACTTCACATATCACAGAAAACTGTATACAAAAATATATTTTTTACCTTCATTATCGAACTTCCGATAAATTATCGTTCAAAGGTCATCCTCAACAGAATCATACTTGTTTCCGAGCATAGGTTTCAACAGTTCATGAAGTCATTCAAGACTGTAATTTTTTTGTTTTTAATCTCTCTCATTCTAACTGCTAGCATGGTCTTGGTTTCCAAATGTCCACACTTTTAGTCGACAAAAGAACTTCGCATAGATCCCTGCTTTTTCCCATATTGGTCCATATTATTGAAGTATTTCCAATAAAGTATCATCTCTTTCTTGTTGTCGAAATATCAAAGTAAAATCCTTTTTTCTAATCACTTTTAAGATGGGCCTAAATTGCTTTTCATCTTCGAAAATCGATTTCCCGGATGAGCGGAAGCGTCGAAGTTATGACAAAATTGGCGGGAATATTTCTGTGCTGTTATTTCGCTCTTCTGTGGATTTTTTCCTTGTGATTAATTGTTCTAATATTATCAATATGTAATATAAATGTTTAAGGAAAAAAAWTCGATTTTTCAACAAATAYTTGGCGCTTTGTTTCCTTTTCGAGCGGWGTATGGGTTTMCTRTGGTGGTACACGGAATCCAGGACGGACGGAAACGTACGTACGCGCGGGATCCCTGTGTCGGTCCATGAAAAATGGACTCGATGGTATACCATTTTTTCTTAGGTATGGGAGCTCCGCTATAAATGATTTACACCCAAACTTGATACACTTCATTTCTACTTTCGGAAAGAATGTTTGTAGGTCCAAATTCCGAGCCTTTCTGAGCATATATACCCAATGTTAACATACACAGTTTGACGTCATTATGACATAGGGAGATTGATGGAGTATATAGTCGATTTGTCGCCGACTGGACTTCGTAGCACGCGAACCACCCGAACAAGTTTCTGGGTAAAATTTAATGAACTGGCAAATAAACACCTTCTAGTATAGTGTCCATTTGTTTTATTCTCTTTTCTAAGAACTCGAAACAAACATCATTTGTTGTATTTCCCGCCATGATTGACAACAATGTGAGATGCATCAACATCACATGCATTAAATTCCCGTGATTTGGAAATTTTTGTCACACATTATGTGTCAGTTCTTCCAATCACAAAGGTTTTCAAATATCTAATTTGCCAGTTTTATTGATTTTTACMCAGAAGCCACTTCGGGTTAGTCGTGTTTCGTGAAACTYGGTCGACGACAACCTTTTGTCAATTGACTATTTGGCGCCATTCCTCGTCGATTCTTATAAGTTCAAACATACGACTGGCTTGATTCCACACAACCGAAATTAAGAAACACTATGAAATGCATTTTACCTTACGTACAGCATTCTCCATCGTGAACTTTGGTAATGTTCACATTGTTTGTGCAGCCAATCAGGAGCATTGTACATTCATTGTCGTATGTGTTCCCGTCTGATCCACAAATCTTTGATATGCTCTCGTAGAAACAATSGAAAATTGGGCATTCACATTTGCAGATTTTGGAGTTATGGTCCAGCAGGCACATTTGGTTTGGATGGTTGCATGTCATGTCACCACAAGCTAAAAAATGGTCCAATTACAATGTCACTTATGAAAGTATTCTTTTGTCAGTTCATGTCAAAAGGTTTAGAACTATATTAAAATGGCCAGTCATTTTGAAAATTATATACAACACCAGTTTATATCAAACAAATTATTTTTTTTATAGAATTAAATATTTTTAACTATCTATGAAAACCACATATTATTCCTTTTAATAAAGTTTTTTTCACTAGTGAAAATCACACATCCGAGGTCGTCTATATATAGTGGAAGTAAGGAAAAAGGAATTTTACAACATAATCTGCTTTCATGTGCAATTATATTATGATAAACAGAATATTGTACATGGTCGCTTGGAGATACGAATTTTATCTTTTCGTATTGAAATTCTCTCACGAGTGCCGAAAGTAGCGATCTTTTCAACACTCGAAGATAAAATCCTTTAGGTATCCAAAAAATGAAAACATTTATATTAAAGACGTTACTAGAGGTATCCCACCTCGGTTTGTGACCGCAAGAGGACCGCAAGTATCTGTGTCTTGAGACAGCTGGAACAATGGGGTGGCATTAGACAACGACCAATCTGTAGACATTAAAAATCTTGGTACAAATTGCTGTTATAATTAAGGATTAAAGATAATAAGAAGAAATTTATGTTATCAAAAAGTCCGTGGAATCGAGCATGGAAAAAAATTGAATTGCGCAGATTTTTCGACTGCGCAGAAGTCATCATCAGAGTTTGAATTAATTTGTTTGTGTATGAAACATCTACGATTGTCTATTACATCTCCTGGCGTACTTTTATGATGTTCTCATCGAATTTTGAGGTCAGATGTGTATTTATTTAAAYAATAAAGAGTGGATTATGCAGTGCGTTTTTCGGTGAAATGAAGACCGCAGGGGATGTTGGGAGGCGCGCGCAATACGCTCATTGCAAAGTGGACATTAGTAAAATGGCACAATCGTCGTGCAAATGGGGTGCATTTGATATAAAAAATCAAATTMAGTCATTTATTCTTAATTTCATTTGTACTCTGATATCAATAAAAATAAATGAAATAACTTGATTCTTGTGTATTTAATTGAACTATAAGTTGATTCGCTCAGTTGAGTGTTATCATCTATTTAAGTACAAAATAGTGACTAATTGTTAAGAACTATTTAGNGATGGTAACACGTACTCCAACAACTGCCAGCTTAACGTAGAGGCCTGCAAACCAGAAAACAGAGAAACTCTTCGCTTGGATCATGATGGGCCTTGTGCAGGTATTGAGTTTCATGTAGCATTCTCGTTCAATTCGCAGGTAGTTTTCCTTTTTGGATTGAGAGATGTCCTGTGATGTCATACCATTTATTGGTAGAAAACACCTGACTATAAAACGTTCATTAAGCAAGTTTTCCCCCGTAGATATTATTTATGTCTTTCATTCCATCCAACATTTTTCAATTCACTTATTGTGCAATAATGTAAGATCAGATCTATTGTATTCGTTCATAAATTTCGTGCTTTTTTATGACCTTTTACATTGTTTTACTATGACATGCATCATCTTTTTGACGATCACTTTGTTGTTTGTCCCTTCAAAACGCATCACTGCTTTTGTTACATTAATTGATGATCCATGTAGGTAGACTCTAGAACATTGTCCCTGCTCTGCTTACTTTGAACACCACGAGCAATCAGCGTGAACCACTTATTTTACGCTGAGGTTGCCTGGGCAACGCTTATAACTTTGAAAACTTTAAAAACGTATCACTGATTGTTGTTGTTTTATGATAGATCCATGTAGTCTGACTTCAGACCCTGGTCCCTGTTTCGGTTCCTTGGAGCATTACTTCTATAATACCGAGACCAGGAACTGCGAACCGTTTCCCTATGGGGGTTGTCAAGGCAACGCTAACAACTTCGAAGACTTAAATACGTGCCAGCAGATATGCGGTAAGAATATTTTGAACTGAAAAGCTTGAATCATTCTTAATTTTTTTGAAAAAGAATATGAAAGCTTGATATACAAAAGCTTTTAAGTTACAACATTACGAGCGGATGGCAGTATCCCAGAGTGCAATCCAATCAAAGCAATAGCATCTTGTTTGGTGTGAAACGTCTAAATAATAGGCAGCAATATCCTATATTGGTTACCACGATTCACAGTAGTACATGTACAGTCTGCATTTGCTTAAAACATTCCAGAGTAACAGTCGAATGTTAGACCAATTTTATTCGTACACAAATTCCGTAGAACGTCTGTTAATGAGACAAGATAATCTATTGCACCGTTCAAGGCTAAAACAGAGCAAAACCACAGAACTCGAGTGAGACTGACTTATTAAGACTAAGTGTTGCCTTCAATAGTTGTGTAAAAAGATAAATTTAACACCGTAAAAAAGTATGAACTTACTCCTTCGTCGGAGTAAATAGATAGAACTAGGTATAGTGTGATTTTATATAGTAAGAGTAGCAAAGAGAATAGACCAATAGGAACAAAGTAGTTGCCTTCAATATCCTTACGACGGCTGCAATATAAAATAATGGGCGACGTCCTTTTGAACTTACTTTTTTTTCCTTTCCAATTCATTACTGATTGTTGTTGTTTTATGATAGATCCATGTAGTCTGCCTGCTGACCCTGGTCCCTGTTTTGGTTCCTTGGAACATTACTTCTATAATACCCAGACCAGGCACTGCGAACCGTTTATCTATGGGGGTTGCCAAGGCAACACTAAYAACTTCGAAGCCTTAACTACATGTCATCAGACATGCGGTAAGACGCTTTGCAATATATTGAACTGAAAAGCTTGAAATATTCTTTCCTTTAGCAAGTCTTAATAAAGTAAGACATTTCCCCTCGATCTTTGCAAGATCAAATACAGACAAATGCATCCCAATGACTTTCAACATTCATCACTGATTGTTACTGCTTTACCCATAGATCCATGTTTTCAGCCAAAAGACCCCGGTCCATGTTTTGGTTCCTTCGAACGTTACTCCTACAATATCGAGACCAATCAGTGCGAAGAATTTATCTACGGAGGTTGCCAGGGCAACGGTAACAACTTCAATACCTTGGAAAGGTGTCACCAGGCATGCGGTAGGAATCTTCACAATATTTGTTGTTATGATTGCTATTGTTTCGCGTACTGTGACTACGTTTATTAATAGTAAATAATGTCACCCTCGATCTTGCCCTAAACAATTGTTCTTAATTTGCACGCATAGCCTAAATCTCATTTTTGCAATTTGGATCGTATTTCTATCAGCACCTTCCTGATTGAACACGAAAGCTAGGAGGTATCGCTAATCAAGGATGTTAAATGTTCGGAATCATCAATGAACAATTGATTAGCCGCGGTATTATGCTATTTTCATCGAAGAAATGGTTTTTTATGCTTTGTCGAGAGCTTTGTCGAAAACTTTCCATTAATGAAACATTTAAACAATGCAAGTATATCATTAATGCAAACTTCACAGCCTCAACGCACGCCAGGTTAGATTGTTGTAATTAATTAAAAGCGCGTGCGCTAGTAATTTTTTCTGCGGTTTTTTTTTTCAGTAGGTGTAATATTTTAAGGACAAGGTTCATCCATAAGAAAATTTACGCGAAACTTCGCCATCTTTAATTATGTACCATCAGAAAGCAACTTCAGCGAAAGATCCTTTGCAAACCAAACGATTCAAAGATTCTGATGTACGTGGACCTTAGCAATTAGTCCGCGAAGTCGAACATGGGTCCATACTTTTTTCACTTGTATATTTTTCTACAGTTTTTTATCGACTTATTCGAACTTTTTAGCTACGCCTTAACTTATTAAAATTTTTCTTATCGAATTTTATAGTTTGGTGGATATTAATATTATCGAAGCTACACGTGTTTAATTGATTGAATATAATTCTCTGCTTCTTTTCAGTTGTTTGCTAAAGAGGCTCGAATCAAGTAGAATTAAAAGACGCTCATGGATTCAAGTTAATGGAATATAAAAATAAATTGCTTCCCTGCAAAATATCACTGTTTTGTTTTGATTTGCGGTTTGAAACGGGCGTACCATGAAACGGGCGTACCATGTCTGATAATCATGAAAAGAAACCAAAGATTGTTTATTAATTAAAGGACGAAAGGAGGGCATTGGAAAGAAAATATTATGAGAAGAGCAGTTTTTGAGTGCCATAAGATTGCCTGCACTGAATGGAATAACTTCTGTTAGGGCTTCCTGTATTAACGATCTCTTAAGCGACCACTTTTTCCTGATCCTGAGGTGGTCGCTTAAGAGAGGGTTGAAATTAAAATCAAAATTAAAATTCCCTTCGGCGCTACTTCGATTATGCATATCAACTTTTAAAAGGCGGACAGAAAGCCGTGATCATTCAAGCGTAACCTGACAGTCGTATGAAGTGTCAAATTCTACGAAAAGAGACCAGATTTCAAGACTTTTTAAAGAAATGCAATGATATTAAACACAATCCTAAAAATCCACTATTATTGCGATATTATTGTAGGTTGACACATTTTTTACTTTTACGTTACGGTTACAAGAGTTAATAATATAAATTACGTTACATCTTAGATAAATGACAAAATACAGAGGAAAGTATAAAACGAAATTACAAACGATACTTACAAAAGGATGTGTCTGTTACTCGGTAAACGGTTGACGTTGAACTAAATTTACGCCGAACGGATTTTACATGTATTATCTTAACTAAAGAGTCCTCAAGGGACCAAAAATAAATAAAATGGCACTATATAACATCCTCCCCCCTAATAAGGGAGCAAGACGATACTTATTACTAAACGTTATCTAAGTATTAAGTGTCAATGGTAATAGTTCAATGCTCCTAGCCCTGCTGGGCGTCTTTCTCCAATATCAAAACGAGCTTTGTGATTGGTCTTTCCAATGTTGTAGTAGAAGTCTTCACAGTTGCTGAACGGACGAGGTTCTTTGAGTCGGTTTTGACTTGGATGATTCTTCCTAGGGGCCACACGTTTCTCGGTGTAGACTCTTGAATGATGAGCACAATGTCTCCAACCTTGTAATTCCTCTTGACTGTGTTCCATTTACTTCTTGGCTGTAAACTTTGAACGTACTCCTTCTTCCACCTTGACCAAAACTGATTGGCTAAAAACTGTACTCTCTTCCCACGCTTGCGCAAATAGAGATGTTCCTTCTGGAAGGTGCCAGCAGGTGGAAGGACAACTGGATGTTTGATATCTTCCTCAAGATGTTGGGAGTTACTCAATCTTCCACCAACACGTACTAATCCGTCTTCATYTACGAATGGATTAAGTTTGTAGATCGAGCTTGACCTCTTCAACTCTGTCTTCCTTTTCTTCGCCTTTGATCGGTCGTCCTTGAATTGAGTTTGATCGATTGACTTTAAGGTGGTTAACTCTGTTGAGAAGTGCGCTTGTTGTACGATCTTGAGGATCGCCTTTTCTGCTTTGTTCAGCTCTTCTACTGTGAGTGGTCGTGGTCTGGTCCTTGTACTTTGTCTAGATCTTGTGCTCATGGCGATTGCAGTGTTCTTGTTGCCGTCTGAGAGACGAAGTATCCACGCAACTACTCTCTTCAAACGTGCCCAATCTGAGAAATAATGAAACCGCTCCAGGATGCTTGTCTTTGGAAGTTCTTGTGTTGACGTTGTGTTTACCATTTCTTCGTTCTCGTTGTCGGCGGTGATGGCGAAGTGTTCTGGCCAGTAAGCCTCTGGTTTCCACAAGAAGTCTGGTCCCTTTATCCACCAATGTTGCTCGTTGATCTGGTCGACATCTAAKCCACGTGATGCGTCGTCGGCTGGATTTTCTTTACCAGGTGTATATCTCCATTGTTCTGGATCTGATTTATCTCTTATCGTCTGGACTCTGTTCGCCACAAATACTTGGAAGCGGGCTTGATCATTGTTGATATATCTCGAAACTGTCGTGCTGTCAGTCCAATAGGTGGGGCTCTGCATGTCATAACCAAGCTCTTCAAGCAGATTACTTCCGATCTTGTAAGATGTAACAGCTGCAGTTAATTCCATTGGTGGAACGGTTACGGCGTTGTTGGGCGCCAATCGAGCTTTTCGCATCAAAAACGAGCAGTAGATTTCTCCTCTAAGGTTTATCTGTCTTAGATAGGACACCTGACCATATCCTGTGTTGCTGGCATCAGAGAAGCTATGGATCCGTCGATCGATGACTGTTCCAAAGCCCTTTAGTTTGAGGCATCGTGTTACGTTGAGGTTTTTGAGCAAAGGCATCTTTCCCAGCTATAAACATACTCCTCCGGAACAGGGTCATCCCAGTCAATGCTATGCTTGCAGAGGTCATGCAGGATTCTCTTCCCAGTTAGAAGCATTGGGGCAGCAAAGCCAAGTGGATCATATATTGAACTTATAGTCGAAAGCACACCTCTTCCTGTAAGGGGCTTGTCCTTTTAAACCAAACGTATCGGACTCGATATGGCATTGTACTCCAAGTGCTCGTTCGACTGGTAAATCGTCAAAGGTGAGGTCGATGTTTTTCACTTCTTTGGAGCGATCTTTCTCAGGCACGGTTTCTAGTACTTTCCTGCTGTTGCTTGTTACTTTCGTGAGTGAGAAGCCACCGTTCTTGCATGCCTTAATGGTACTGTGTAAACGTTCGTTTGCTTTGTCAACCGTCTCTTCTGATCTCGAACAGTCGTCTACATAGACGTTTCTTCGCAAAACATCTGAAGTTTCCTTCCCAAACTCTGCTTCTGTGTCATCAGCTGTTCTTCGGATTGCATAATTTGCACAACTTGGAGAGGAGATCGAGCCAAATAGGTGTACGTTCATCTGGCACTCGTGTAAGCTTTGTGAAATGTCTCCATTCGGCCACCATAGAAAACGCAGGAAGTTGCGGTGATTTTCTGTGACACGAACCAGATGAAACATAGCTTCAATATCTGCCTGGAAAGCAATTGGTTCTCTCCGAAATCTTGTTAGAACTCCAACCAAGGAACTTGTCAAGTTTGGGCCTTGCAGCAATTGACTGTTTAGAGAAACACCACCATATCTTGCGCTACAATCAAATACAACGCGGATCTTGTCCGGCTTGCATGGGTGGTACACCCCATGGTGAGGTAAGTACCAGATCTTTCCCGGTTCGGCTTGAGGATGTAATGGAGATATTGCGCGGGCGTAATCTTTGTCTAGTAGATCGTTCATGAATTTTGTGTAGTCGTTATGTATCTTCTTGTCCTTGAGAAGTTTCTTTCTTGTCCATAAGGTTCTTGAGATTGCTTGCTCCATGTTGTTTGACATTAACTTATCCTTGTCTTTGAATGGTAGTGGAATTACATAATGACCTTCCTCGAACTTTATAGCTTCTCCAATTATCTTAAGGAATTCTTTGTCGTCTTGGGAGTATCCTTGAGCCTTGAACTCTTCTTTCAGTTAGAGTTTTGTCTTTGAATTTCTTGCAATCGTCGAGGTCGTGGCTTTCACTGCACAGAAGAGATCCAGGTTTAAACTCGCTTGAGGCTTTTCATACTGTGAGGTGACATTGGTTACATGACTTGTGGCTCTGTAAGTTCTTCCCACAGCGTTGACTACTCTGCCGACCACCGCTTTATGTTTTCTTTCTCCTTTATCACTCTTTGCCAAGGCTTGTTTGGAAAATATCGGATCCGTGGAAACTTCAGCTTCTCTCTTGATAAACTCTGCGGATTTCTTGAAACTGGGTATATGATCTTTGGATTCCCTGATGGTGATGACATGTCTTCTCCATCTGTCTTGTAAGTACAACGGCAATTTTCTTACTAAAGTTTGAAGGTTGTGCGGATGATCGAGTATAGACAGGTATGAAATCGACTCCATAGCACATACATACTGTGTAAGAAAGAAAGATAGTTGGCAGAATCATCTCCAGGTGCGATTGCAGGCCATTCTTCAGCTCTCCTGATGTAGGCGATCGATATCTTGTAAGGATCTCCATATTTCTCTTTAAGGAGTTTCTTAGCTTCTGGATAGCCAATCTTTGGATCTTTGTATTGGCAACCCTTTATTAATTCCTTGGCTTCACCTTGCAAGTATTGCTCGAGATATCGTAAGCAAACATCACAGGATGATACTTTAGATTCGATCTGTGATTCGAAGCTTGTGATGAACGTTGTAAAGTCCACAGGGTCGTTGGTAAAGATAGACAGCGTCAAAGGTGGGAGCAAGGTTTTCTGGTGTTGCTCGGTAAGGATTTCCGTTAACCATGGCCAGAAAATCCGGACATTTGAGCCCGCAATCGCAGCGGTACTTCGCATAAATGCATAAAAACATGTTTGTAAATTTTACAAAGAAATGTATGGATCAAAAAAAAAAAATATTTGAGAATAACATTTCATCTGTTTTAACTGGAAAGATTCCATAGATGAATTCGTAGAGGGAAACTATTCTTGATTCCACTGTAGGAAATCCAAATAAATCCAATATTTTTAACAGCGTCCTTTTTGACAATTTATTTTCCTTTCGTCGTCTCCCTTTCGCCTTGTATCGCATGGTGAAAATTCGCGAAGAAGCGAAATTTCACCGTAGCTGATCGTGTTCCTTTACATGTCACTGATATTCCATAGACTATGAAATGGCTGGCGAAGACGCGTGTTTCACGCGAATACTTGGCCTGATCTTCCATTTGATTATCCATGTTTGGTACCAAAATAAACCTTAGAAACATGGCTTTCATACTAGGACTGCTTTAATTTTGAAGGTTTTTACAGGCGACTTGCGCGCACTGGTAAATAGCGCAGATAGCGGGAAATACGAACGAAAGATAGGCCAATCAAGTCTAGTGTAAACAATGTCAGACCTTTTAAATTCCTTAGAAATGTACAAGTATAAACAAAATATCACGATATCAACTGATGATCATTGTNCAATTACATAATGATTAACTGGGATATCGTCACATCTCCCCTTCCATAATTAGACAAACAAAAAGATGTATAATAAACTAAATGTCACTGTCCTGTTAAAACACTATTAAAATTAAATGATAAATCAGTGTCTCAAGTCCGGTATATGACTAATTTAGCAGTTCACTGGAAACGAACAGGTGGCTTCACTACTCGTCCACTTCTGGTAACTACTACTGATTCTCCAGGTGGCTTCACAGTCACTTTGTCAGGCTTTGTCGGAGAGCTTTCTTGCGTCATCATTGTGGGTGTTTGTGACTCTGTGCTGTTCGTCGGTTGTAGCTCAGGCGGAGGTAGGTGTGRTTGTCCAAAMTCTGGTTTTGTTRGTTCTTTGGTTTGTCGGAGGTGTCTTCTGTTCCTGCGAAATACTCTCCCATCTTCTGTGCGTACTTCATAGGATCTTATGTCGACTGAACTTAAGCTTTGGTTGAAGTTTTCCGGTTACCAAGCTTCTTTGGTGGCTCAATGCGAACCATATCGCCTGGATGTAACTCCTGTAGTTCTTTAGCACCTCGGTTGTAATAATAGCTCTGTCTAGCCTTCTGTTGCTTGAGCTTCAGGTCAATATCTCCGGGTATCCTTGGTTGTAGAAGCTTCGTTGATGTCGGCAGAAGGGTTTTGGTCCGACGACCGAATATCCTCTGAGCAGGCGAGGAGTTGATGGATTCTGATGGTGTGTTTCTCCAGTCGAGGAGCGCGAGGTATGGGTCACTCCTTGTTTCCATTGCTTTCCTCATTAGCCTTTGTGCGGTGTTGACAGCATTTTCGGCTTTGCCGTTGGACTGTGGGTACATGGGAGAACTCGTCACATGTTCAAATGAGTATGCTTGCGCGAACTCTTGAAACTCGGCGGAYAWGAARGGAGGACCGTTATCTGAGATCACTTGGTCGGGAATTCCGTGTCTAGCGAAGTGAGCTTTGACTTTGCCTATGACTTCCTTGGCAGTTTTGDATGACAGTTTATCAACTTCAAAATAGTTGGAGTAGTAATCCACTGTTACAAGAAAATCTTTGTTGTCAAGCTGGAACAGGTCCATTGCTACCTTCTCCCATGGTCTAGAGGGGATCTGGTGACAGATCATAGGCTCTTTGCCTTGTTGTGGATGGTAGTTGTTGCAGGTTTCGCACCTGGCTATGTAGTCTTCTACTTCTCGATTCATACCAGGCCAATACAGGACTTCTCTAGCTCTGCGCAAACATCCTTGAATGCCTATGTGGCTGGCATGTATCTTCATCAGCATGTTATCTCTCAAGGCAGAGGGGACTACAAGTCTCTCACCTTTGAAGATTAATCCATTCTGCAGTGTTAGCTCGTCTCTGAATGGGAAGTAATCTTGGATGCAAACAGGGACTTCGGATTTTCCTGACGGCCAACCTCGTCGTATGGCTGTCTTCAACTCTTGTAAGGTAGGATCCGCTTCTGTTGCTTTCCTTATATTGGACTGTGTGTCTTCTGAGACAGCCAAGTGCTGAGCAAAGTTTATGACTTCAGTGTCTCTTTCCGTCTCACCTCTTAGCAGTTTAGAAGATTTAACTTCTCCTTCCGAGCGGACTTTATATGCTCGGCTTAGAGTATCGGCCAAGACCATATCTGTGCCCTTCTTATATGTTACGTCTAGGTCAAACTTCTGCAGTCGTAACAACATTCGCTGCAGTCTCTTTGGAGCGCTGATGAGGCTTTTCTTGAAKATACTTTCCAACGGCTTGTGGTCGGTTTCGACTTTGACTTGTCGTCCATACACACACTGCTCAAACCTCTCAACGGCAAACACTATGGCGAGCATTTCCTTCTCTATCTGAGCATAATGTGATTCGGTTTCTGTCATGGAGCGAGATGCGTATGCAACGGGCTGACCATCTTGCATAAGACATGCACCCAGACCACGGTCTGATGCATCGCATTGGATTTCAACGCTTCCTTTGGGATCAAAGAACTTCAAGACAGGAGACTCAGATATCACCTTCTTGATCCTGGTTAGACTTTGCTCGTGCGCGTCATCCCATCGGAAGTGCACGTTCTCCTTGAGAAGGTCTCTCAAAGGAGCTGTCAGCTGTGACAGGTTAGCAGCAAAACGCTGCAGATAGTTCAGCATGCCGATGAATCTTTTGGCGTCTTGCTTGCAGGTTGGCGAAGGTATTTCGTTTATGCCTTGCACCTTGGCTGGGTCAACCTTGAGACCTTCAGAAGAGATAATGTGGCCCATGAAGTCCACTTCTTTACGCCGGAGCTTCAGCTTCTCTYTGTTGAGCTTCACTCCCTTTTCTCGGCATCGTTGTAGTAAAGCTGYGAGCTTTCTATCGTGGTCCTCAAGGGCTTCCTTCTCAGTGTCACCATTGCCGTACACGAGAGTGTCKTCAAAGATAGGCATGACACCATCAAGACCTTGGAAGGCATTGTCAAGYCTCCTTTGGAACTCTTCAGGTGCAGGAGAGATACCGAAAGGCATCCGAGTCCACCGATACCTGCCCCAGGGGGTCCCAAAAGTTGTCAACAGGCTGCTGTCTTCGTCTAGTTGGACGTGCCAATAACCGTTCTTGGCGTCCACAACGGAGAAGACTTTGGCATTTGTCAACTTAGCAAGGAGATCGTCCAGTACAGGCAGGGGGTAGTGGTTCCCTTTTAAAGCTTTGTTAAGTGGCTTAGGATCTATGCACAAGCGTATCTTGCCATTTCGTTTCCTTTGTACCACCATAGAAGATACCCAATCGGTGGGTACATCAACAGGGACTATGATTCCTTTCTTTTCTAGACGATTCAACTCTGCTTTTAGGTCTTCCTTGACAGAGTGCGCAACTGTTCGTACAGGGAKAACTGTTGGAGTAACCGTGTTGTCTACCTGTAAGTGGAGCATTCCTTCGATCTTGCCATCACCTTCAAACACATCATTAAATTCAGATATGATGTCGCTATGGATGGAACGGTTTTCTATGGACATAATGTTGTCAGTATTTACAGTAATCAACTGGAACTGTTGGACTGCTTGGGCACCTAGAATGGGTGTGTGTCCCTCTTTTACTACTACAAATTCTATTGTAATGGCTTCGTCATTCTTTGGGTTGACAGTTTTGGCGCTAAAAATTCCTAGCGTTTTCAGAGTTGTCTTGTTGAACATCTGCAAGGATTTGTTAGCACTATTAAGCTTCTTAAGCGCTGGGTCGTTTGCTACTGCTATATATTCATCGACAGGTAGAATATTTACTGTCGCTCCGCAATCAAGCTGGAACTTTACATGCTTATTGCCAATTTGCATTGGCGCAAAGATTTTCCGTGGGCAATCATTAGCATCGATTGCACCCACGGTTTCAACATAGAAGAAATAGTCATCATCTGAGGATTCAGACTGTTCATCGAGCTCATGCACTGCGGGCTTGTGTTTACACACAGTTGACCCAGTAAAATGATTTTTCACGCCACACTCTTTGCACGTTTTTCCCCAAGCTGCACACAATTCCTTCTTTCTAGGGTGTGATTTCAAACAAAACTTGCATTTTATTAACGGGGCTTTGGATGCGCTTTGTCCCTGGGCATTGCCTTTATTCCTTGGGACTGCCGCATTGCGTTGCGGGTTTCCTGTGCTTTTTGTTGGGCGACGTGATGTCTGTACAGCATTTATTTCATCACTGGTGATATCTTTAAATCTCTTAGTAGTTGATTCGTTCGCCCTACAAATGNGGTTTTTACTGGCGCCTTGCGCGCACTGGTAAATAGCGCAGATAGCGGGAAATACGAACGAAAGATAGGCCAATCAAGTCTAGTGTAAACAATGTCAGACCTTTTAAATTCCTTAGAAATGTACAAGTATAAACAAAATATCACGATATCAACTGATGATCATTGTTTAAGATACCTGAGGGAAACGTGTGTTCCAGAAAATAATATTATTTACACTATCAACATTCCAAACGAGCACCTCACAAGCCACTAATGAASTCAAGGATCAGGGCGTGCTATCCCAATACTCGTTTGTCGATGTTTTGAACGTTTCGATTTTAGCCCAGTATTGTATTAAGATAAAAGATCGTTGCACAAGAGTAGAAAATTTGATCTTCAATAGGTCAAACCTCAAGGGAACTTGTAGAAAGCTCTATTTTGGTGGGAAAACCCGATTACTCGTCCCGGGCTTAAATGTCCGGAATTTCTGGCTATGCTGTAGAAATTTGCAGATAAGCGTTAATCGTCGAGTCGTGAATAAGCCTTGGAAATCCATATTTTAAATTTAAAAAGATGTAAATATTCTTGTTTGATAAAAAGGAAGAACGAGCTAGAATTTTCAGCCGTTGGCTGGGAATTGGGAGCGTCGATTAATCGTGCAATTTGTTATGCAATTCTCTATTACTCTATGATCATATAAAAATCTGTGAAATATCATTATCCTCCGCCCCCCTCCCCTCTGAATCTGTAGAATCGACAGCCAGAATGATGTCAAGCCTATATCTCTGAGCTCTTGAGGACACCAGACAGAAGTGTTTAGAGCAGCATGTGACTGGCTTGATACGAGCAACGACGAAATGCCGATTACCCCCCTGACATTAATTTGCGCAAGAATTGCACTTCGAATTCGTGAAATTACAGAAAAATTAATGGAGAATATATGATATTGCAAAAAAATATTACAACTATTTTAGCCTTTAGGGATTTTATCGATGAAAACAGTGAAAACCCTAATTTAAGTTTGAAGCAATGTGTGTCTTGCTCACGCATACGTACGAAGCTGGCTTAATTTTGCGAATGTTCATGAAATGAAAGGGAGGGCTGAGTTTGTAGTTCCTGGACTGACAAGTTCGCTGCTATCGTCGTCCAGTAAGCTTATTCTATGGAATTGGTGCATAATTAGATAATGTGAAATCTTTGTTTTTGTGATAGATTATCAGGCACCGCGGAGCTGGTACTGCTAATATATTGGCCGCCATTTTGAAAACATTCGTACAATACTCCAGTTTCGAATTCTCTTTTGTGCAAGCTTAGCCTCGACCAAGCATAAATTGTTTATTGTCTTTTTTGTTCACAGAATGTTTGCATTACAATAGATTCTCTGCCGAATAAAATAATATACTACATGCTTTCGAGGTTAAGACTGCACGAATAAGATCTTGAAACTGGAGTATTCATCTGTCGCTTGTCAAAAGTTGCCCCGTTTCGATATTA